GTGGGTATCAAGCTCCGAGAGCATGCACCCTCTGCTACAGCGTCTCGCCGTCTCGCCGTCTTCTCTGGGCAGATATTCAGAGAATGAGGAACTCAACATCGCCATATGAGATGAACGATATGCGTGGTTTCATCTCGGAGGAGAGGCACGATCACATCAGAAGCTGCCGGCGACCTTTGAGTCGCTTGAAACGGCTTTCATACCTACTGTACCAGGCTCAGCAAAGACTTCCCGCTCAACACGATGTCAATTGACAGGATTAGAAACACTCTGTCTCGGACTATCATGTGAGCAACTCTTACACGGATTAGCCTATCAAGCTTCACACCTACCTACTTACGCACACAATATGCAGTAGGAAGCGGCTGATTCGTGTATACCCCACAGCAAAGCAGGGCCGCTCCACGCTCGTACGATGCCAAAGGAGAGCATGAAACCGGTGAACGATGAGACGTGACCGTGCAAAGTACATCTAGGAGGGGTCGAGGGGTGACGAGACAAGAGACAGCGCGGCAAGCGTGATCCGGAGATCGAGTTGAGCCTGTACGAGGTACTTTGCAGAGGAACATGCTCTGTTCAGCCCCAGGGGATGCTAGTCAGGCAACAGAAGACTTCACATTCCATGTTTTCTATGGTTTCGACGATGTTGACCGGTGCTACGAGGGCCTTGTGAAAGTATCTGGTGTGCCTGACCAACAACCTACTGGCGAAGTCTACCGTGCAGCGAGTGTTGCTACGCTCGGGGAAGGCATGTCGATGGGAACTCGGAGCACGAGGACTGGCCCTCTGTCCCACCAGGCCAGCCATGTCCATTCTTCAATCAAGCATACACCAAAGCTTCCTGCATGCGGAGTCCTAACAGTGGAGTATCCATGTCTTCCTGGCACAAGAAGTACGCGAAGGCCTGTCGGCAGCCCTGGAAGGATGGATAATATAGAGAGGATGTCAGAGTGTCCAAAGGCCCCTCTCAAGTCTGCCGGCCGAGAGCACCGATCCTCACATCGGGCTCCACGCAGGGCCATCGAGACTCTACTGGTCATTGACATTGATCGACAATAATACTTGACGGCTGCCGATAGCATGTCACGACCATAATGAAGGAGAGATTGACAGACATTGGACGGCCATCAAACTCTCGGGCCTCTCTGGAAGACCCCAGGTCTCAGGCTCTCCGAGCTTCCACCCATGCGGAACTCAAGGGCTCATGGAAGTGAATACCGCTACGACGCTTTCGACCTGCGATCTGCGCCCTGTCGGCTTTCCTGGTCCTTGCGGCGGAAGCTAAGGCTAAGCGGTGCGCTGGCGTAGGTCGACTGTGCATGGTACGACATGGCTTGGGATTGCTCGCCTGCAAATGCAACACACACGCACCCACACGCATCCACACACACGGGGGAGGCGATGAAGGTCGAGACGGGCTCACAGATGTCTCATCAGGCGGCGCTGGCGGCAGAGATCCCAGGCTGCAGGCCAAGTTACATGCAGGCAAGCCACGGTTGCGGCTGAACTGACCAGTTGGCCACACAGGGGAGGGGGGGCCTAGCAATCCATATTGCTACAAGGCACATGATGGTACCGGTGGGTGCTTGAGATGAGTGAGAGGCAAGTGCTGGCATCTGATAGGCCGCAGCAGCCGAAGCATGGGCAGGAGGGAGGTGAGCAGCAGGCAACTGAAAACCTGGATGAGTGGATTCGGGTTTTGCTTCGAGCACTCTGCTTGGAGAAGCCTGCATGTCCCTCTTGCATGTAGTAGGTGTGCGAAGAGGCGTCCTGCGGCCCATGATCCTTCCTCTTCCGATGCTCAGCGCTATGCAGCTACTAATAGTATGTTTCTCGAGGCCTCTTTCTTGGTTGACGACACAAGTACCTATACTATGGACGGCACACGAGTCACTGTGAACTTCCTGGGTTGGGAAGGCAGGGAGGGAAAAATTGTGTGCTTTTGCATATACATTTGCTCTGACCCTTTGAGTTTGCACACCGCCGCGCCGTCCGTCCGTGTGCATAATGAACGCACAAAGAGCGAAGAGGATACCTAGATGGGGTGATGAGTCCAGTCCAGGAGCGGTGCCGTACAGATGTTCTCTCGATGATGACTTGGCCTGAGCCGTTACTGGGGCTTTTTCGTTATGACAATAAGCTGCGTTCATAACAGATGGATAATATACCCGGCTGGCTTGAGAGGAAGTCACACAACCAAAGAATGAAACGTGGAGGCCCATGGGGGAGGCCCATGGCGGAGGACGAGAGAGAAAGTCGAATTGGAGGTTGTGGTTGGCGGCTCGAGTCGGTGGTTCAGCTCCGTACCGTGCCTGTACCTGGATCTGGTGCTTGTGGGACCGCGCCAACAAATGGAACCTTTGGAGGAGGCTGAAGCCTTGAATTGTTGATGGGGCGCTTAGACGGCAGAGGGAAAAAGGGCAGAAAAAGGCGGCAGAAAAGAAAAAGGCAGCCAAAAAAAAAAAAAAAAAGGCAGCAAAAAAAAAAAAAGGGCAGAAAGGAGGGGCGCCTTGGAAGCAGAGACATTCTAGCAGAGGATGCTCTGGTCAACCAGTCAGTCATGACTGGAAACACGGCTTGCACAGCTCTTGCGATTGAAGTACAGACGGGCAAGATGAAGCTTTGCGCCCTGTGAAGCCAAGAAAAAGCCAAGAGAGCTTCTGGCGAGCTCATACATACGGGAAGCCTACCGATGGGCCTGTGTGGTTGGGCATGGCATCAAGTCAATGTCGCCTCTTTCTCTCGCTCTTCTCATTGTGTGCCGCTACTGGCGATCCCTTTGCTCACGATCAATTCGCCTCCAGCTTGTTTTTGCGCTGCACGCACTCACTGCGACTGTGGCTTGGACCTGACAAGATGGCAGTATTAAACTGTCTCACTATCGTCAAATTCTTTTTTTTCCTTGGTGATCCAGATTGACCACGGGCTGGGCAAGCCTCAGTGCTAGTCTAAACGAACTAGCAGATGCGGCCGCGTAAATCGTCCCGGGCCTCGCGCCTCGGGGGAAAAAAAATACAACCTGGAACCTTGGAAACTTGCTTTCAGATGAACAGAGCGGGACATGGAAAGAAAAAGAAACAAGACAAGAAAAAAAAGAGGGAATGAAATGGCCTCCCTGCATACGCTCTCATTAATGCCACCACCTGCCTACGTGTACAGTGTCGGCGCAGTACTGTAAGGTAAGGTAGGTATGTACAGTAGGCTTACGCTCTCTGCGCTGCCTGCACCCATGCTGCCCGGATGGCGCCGTCCAGCCTTGCCTTGTGCCGCATCCAGTGACAGCCCGCATCTTGTCACTGACGGACACTTCAAGATTACCTGTACCCGTACTTACCTAAGGCGGGCGGGTGTGGCGATATCGTGTGTCTCGGATCTCTGCGACGCCCAGCTGGCCAAGGTCCGGTCCAGCTACTACCTACCTCTACTCTCTACTACTAAGCCACCGGTCGTCGACGCTGCTTTTCCTTGTCCGAGTCCTCGCTGATCTCTGGCCTGCAAAAGACATCACCTCGTCACTCACTCTCTGTCACGCTCGGCTAGCATCTACATAACAAGAAAGCGCCCGGAGTCGATGCCAGCGGAAGATCCCAGGCCTTGTCGAGTCACGGCAGCTTCAGCATCTCCACGCCGCCTCTGTGTGTGTGTGTGTGCGTCACTTTTGCTCCACCAACAGGTACGAGAGGTACTTGCTCGGTAGCGGCAATTGGCCAACTCACTTTCAACTTCACTCTCATCTCGGCCTGGCTGCGCTTTTACTTTTCTCTGCCGCAAGCCCACAGCCTCTTTATTTTTTTTTGTTGAGCTCCTCAGACTCGGCGCTCGCCTTGTTCCTCCTTCACCCGAGCCGGACCATACCTTTTCCCATCTCGCTCTTGAACGGGGCTTCGCGCAGCCCAAAAAGCCTGTATACCTACCTACCTAGACAGACACCATAGCAGCAAACGGCCAGACGACGGGATCAAGACACCAGAGGGCTCGAAGTTGCATCGGCGCCGTGTTAGTGCTTTCGGCGTCCTCTTCAGCGTCTTCCATCTGCCTCGACTTACTCTGCGTTGCTGCTTTGTTTGTACCTGCGCTGTTTCTGCATTTCGGCCTGCGTCTTCTGCGTCACATCACATTATCCCGTCGCTGCTCTTCTGGTCCTGTCGACAATTCCGGTTACACCTCCATACTACCTGCTCTACGCACTTACACATGGGCTTGGACTGCTGTGCAGAACAAGTACCGAAATATTGAGATCCATCTCGCGCCACACACACACAAACACATCTGCCTGCCAACGGCTAGTACAGGAATCCTGCGATTACGGAGTTGAGAAAAAGACCTCATCGATATCAATTTACCGACATCACACACATAAACACACACACAGAGACGCAGACAGATACCTAGACAGACAGACAGACAGACAGACAGACAGACAGACAGACGGACAGACGAGAAGACAAACCTTGCACTGGGCCAAGATACTTTAGCCGTCATCAATCCCTTCGCAACACATCGCGACATTGAAGCATCAATCGCCGGGCTCCCAAAACAAAACAGGCGAGCATCGATACAACGCCACTACCACGGCATCGCTACCCTCTGGTCCCCTCCCCCCTGCATCTGGCAAAGCCTGGGGATCCTTATCGACCAACGAGGTGACTCGTCCAGCGCTTTATGATTTAAGCTTCCGCTTAAGACAGTTCCTTGGCTTGCCAGTTACGAACCACCATCCAGCCACACAGGATTGGCTGTGTTTAGCCTCAAAGTGTCTTGTCGCTGGAGGGTTCCTCGTCCTTGTTGCCTCTTGTTTGCCATTATTTATATACCGTCCACGCCCCATTTGACCTGACTCTCTCTCTCCATCTCTCTATCTCTTCTCTGTCTCGTCTCTTGCATCACATCCTCAGAACCCGACGCCTTCTGCCTGAAAGCTTGCTCTCTCTGCTTCATACCGGTATATCTACGTCAAACAACAAACGTCAGAATCACTACACATTCTTGATCCATTCATCATGTCTGGTCGACCTGGTCTCTGGGAATCGCACGTGAGGGCAGAGAGCTCCACCTCGCAGGTCCAGTCAGGAAGCCAAGGCCGCTCTTCTCTTTGGGGCCATACGGCTGCCTTTTCTACCTCCGACACTGCTCAGTACCGCCCGGCAGCCACTGTCAATGGCGACAACCACATGTCTGGTCAAAGTTACATGAGCGGCATTGGCAGCAGCACCAGGAACAGCGCCGCTCCCAGCCCTGTCCATGGCAACGGCGATGTAAAGGGAAAAGGCAGAGCATCTGACATCGGCCACGACATGCTTCTGCTGAATTCGGGCGGCTTGCCTCCATGGACGTCCACAATGGTGCCATCGCACTCTCAGTATCCGTACCCGAAACTTTCTCCCTCTCCAGGATACGACGGGGCATATGTTCGCTCCCTCAACCGCGGCGGCATGCCCAACCTACCGGTCCCCGGCTTGATGAGCCCCTTTGCACCTGGTCACCACTCATACCACCCTCAGCCCTCCGCTCCCTTTGACCCCAACGCACCTGGCCACCACTCATACTACCCTCAGCCCTCTGTTCCCTTTAGCCCCAACGCACCCCGCCGGGAATTCCCGTCATTCTTCGGACCACAAAATCCCGGCCATGACGGCTCAGCGTGCCGCTGCTCGGCCTGCTCCAGTAGTTCGCAAGCCGTGTGCTTCCAGCAGCAGTTGGCCAAACAGCAGGCTTCGATCAACGCAGTCTGGGATGACGAGCGCAGTCGTTTCGAAGCATGCCGGAGCCGGGTAGAATACCTGGTTCGACAGGAGGGCAGAATCATACTGGACCACTACCGCCAAGGGTGGGACGAGGAAAGGGACAGACTGCAGTCCGAGATCACCGCCCTGCGCAATACCATCAAGGGATTCGAAGACGAGCACCTGCAGCTCTGCGAGGATCACAGGAAGCTCTGGGTCGAAAACTTGAAGCTTCACGACGACAATTCAAGGCTTCAGGAGGACAATTCCAGGCTCAGGCAGACCGTCTCCAACTCAAGCGATGCCCCCCTCCAAGCTCAAGGTGCTGTCGGGGGAGCCACTGTCCATCACAGCAACGCCCCGTCCATGTCTACCAACCCCCCGGAGCCCGCCGCCAGCAGCCAAGGGGGCAGGCCCAGCGGATACAATGGCAGTCGGGGCCCTCGCAATCCCTGGTCCGCGTGGACCGACTCGTTGCCCAGGTCCACCACCTCCATGGTAGACTCAACCTGGACCGTCCAGGCACCAACACGCGCCACACCCCGCAGCCCGCCGCCGCCGGCGCCCGCTGGCATCTCGGCGTCTCAGGGCCCAGAGCTTTCTGAATTGCCATCCGAGCGATACGCACTCACGTCACCTCAACCCGAGTACGGCAGCAACATCAGCAGTCCCGTCCTTTCGCTCTTTCAAAGGTCCCCCGTCCCCTTGGGCCAAGCCTCGTCCACCTCAGCCCGTTTGGACTCACCCATTCCATTCTGTCCAGCCTCACCCAACCTGGTCCGTTCGGAGTCCGTCGCCTCATACCACCCGGCCTCGCCAGTCCCGTTCCGTTTGGACTCACCAATGCCGTTCTGTCCGGCCTCGCCCACTCTGGCCTGTCCGGCCTCGCCCATGCCCAAGAGAAGCCCCAAGCGGCCGCTCTCCGTCATCGACATCAACGAGGTTGATGCAGGACTCGAGGGCATCTCTCTTAGGGCGAACACCGTTCGAAGAACCACTTTCGCGGAAGGTGCCTCGGAGGGAGCCCCTCCGTCCAAGAGACAACGAAGCCTGTCCCAGGAGTACTGCATTGTCAACAACCTGCTCGATGACGATGCTGAAGCAGAGGTAGAATACGACGACGACGAGAGGGACAAAGAGGAGGTGCGACGGCTGAAGATGCACGCCGGACACACTCCTCCCCCCCAATCGCCCCCTGCGCGCCACAGCCAGGGTAGCCCAACTCCGCTTGCCCCTTCTACCCCGCCGGAGCGCAAGCCGGTCATTGTCGACGATATGGCCACGACCGAGTCTCTCCGTTCCGCGTCGGAGGATTCGGGCGACGTGCCGCTTGTGGGCCCCCTGATGATGCTGAACAACCCTGCCGAGGACGATAGTTTCCTGGCCGCTCTCAACGAGAAACTCGAGCCCATCAGCCAGGGAGTCGATGCCCTCCCCAGGGCGGTGCAGCCTTCGATCGGACTGCCAGCATCTGTGTCAGCCGAGGAACCCGAGGTCGGCGTCTTCAAGCGTGAGCAGCCCTCCTCATTGCCCATCAAGACGGAAGACATCAAGCCTGAGGAGCACTCTCATCCCATCATCAAGACGGAAGTCAAGACGGAAGACGTCAAGCCATACATCAAGGATGAAGATGACGATGATTACAGCGACGATGCTAAAGGAGCGGAGCCTGATGTGCCTATCAAGTTCAAGTTCACGCGCAACTTTGGGGCGCCCTTTGGGAGGATGTAGAGCACTATCCGGGGGAAAGCGGCAGAGCTGCGCAGACCAGCGGTGCTTGTTCAGCGTGATTTTGTTTGGAACTGAACTGTCATTACAGCGTCTTGTTCTTGTTTTTTTTTTTTTTTTTTTTTTTTTTTCTTCTTTTTTTCGGCCAGTGTGGGAGCTGTGCTCTTGATTCTTAGATCTGAGCCTTTTGTTTTCTTGAGTGGACATTGATTATCTGATTACTGTTTTCGTGGGCTTGGTTGTTGGGCTTGGATATCAGCGGGAAATGGCTAGGCGTGGAGGGAATATACGTTGTGTAATCGGTAGGACTTGGCGAAGACGGAATTCTCTCATTTGCAGTCTAATTTCCATAGCTTAATCACTTCTTATGTTATATCGATGCTGCACAACGCAAGGTGGTGTATGTACGAGGGTGGTGGTATGACAGAGTGCTCCGGGTGAAGATATTATGCAATGGCCGAAATGATGTGATTTCCTGGCGAGTGGCTAATGGGCTCTTGAGTCAGGGTCTTATCGAAGCCTGCTCAGATGTTCACGAGCCGTGTCTCGTCGCTCTTTGCCAGCTGTCTGGGATGGTCAGGCAGGGAGAAGACGCATGTCGCTGCGATGTCTCTGCGATGTCTCTGCGCGGGAGGGGAAAAAGTCTGGAGCGAGGACAAGGAGCGCCAAGGGACAGACAACAGTGATGCTCTTCCACATTTGCAGAGGTATTATTAGTACGATGAATGAAGCGGGATTAAACATACCTAGCTATGAATTACTCGATATCTACACGGGAGTCATACATGGCTAAGGTACTGTACCTTGTGATAAGTATACATGTATCTGTGACACGTCTCGTAGTACTGAATATGCTGATTTTCTTCTTCTTTTTCTCTCTTGACTTTTGTGAATGTAGGCATGTGATGTTATTCTCTCTCTCTCCCACCTCCGATGCCTTTCAGCAAAATGCATCCTGTCAGCACTTGGCCGTCTGCTAATGCACGCTGGGCCGAGCCGGTATTGTAGCCCGCAGTGACGGAATGGAGCAAATCACGTATTATCAACTCTACCTACCATTACTACCTAGGTACTAATGCAAGCAAGAAAGGAGGTAGGTTCCGTATAGAGGGCAATTTATGCTCTTTTTGCTCGCACAGATTGCCACCTTGTACAATCGACAGGGCATCACTGCGTCAGAATTACAAGTAATACGCGCAACATGATGGGAGCTCGGAGCATTTTGCGGTGGATGTGCTCCAGCTGCGATGAATATCCCGTCGATCCGGCTGGTGACGCTCCCGGATCTCAAAGCGTTCGGTACCTGACTGCCAGTACTTTCAGGTACCTGAGGCACCTTAGTCTTGAAATAGGTACCTACCCACATGCAGATACTGATCTGGCTGGGGCTGCTGCTCAAAACTGCCTAACCAGGGCGCAGTTACGGTTCCATAATACTTCAAATACACGTAAGGTAGGTAGGTATGTAGGTACAGTTGCAGCACAGTCTCAATGGATGGAGAGCGATCGGCTCTAGCGGATGCCCGGTCAAAGCGGCCCAGACGGCTGGTACCGGTACCCGTACCTGTACCTGACTGTACATCCCGGATGTACTAGGTAGACCTGACCTCTTGCCTCCATGGTCAGGTCCAGCTCAGGTCGGGATCGTTCTTTGCTTTTTTTCTGTCTGTCTCATGAGACAATGCGAGCAGCCTCTACTAGTACCTAGGTAAGGTAAGGTAGGCACGTCTGAATCGTTGGGTCACGTTTCTGGCGCCTTCCGTCTTTTCTTTTCTTTTTTCTTCTTCTTGTTTGCAGCTCTCGCCTCTTTTGTCTTTTGCCTCTTGTCACAATCTTCCCTCCCTCGCTCTCTGTCTCTTCTCTCACACCTACCTCCTTATGCATCTACGGACCAAGACCGACTCAGGGTACCTATTCTCTACTCGATACACTACATCATACGGCAGAGCAAGGTGGTGGAATCGCCTCTCATGAATATGGATATACAAGCAATATCTGCTCGGTCCTACGCGCCTGGCATCACCATGACCCCCTCAGTGACCTCTTCTTCTTCTCTTTCACCACCACCACCATCATCATCGTCATCGTCATCATCCCTCTCTTCATTGCCGTTTACTTCTCCTTTCATGAACTCGACTCCGGCATCTCAAACCCCTGGCTCACCTTCAACTCCTCCAGAGTCCGCTTCACCTCAGGCTGCTCTCTCCCTCTACGGAATTGCCCGCCGTTACTGCAGGGAAGAGATTCTCGTGACCCCCCTCCGATGGACAGGCCGCCACCTCGAGCTCCTGCAGTGCTCCTTTGGCAAGCCCCTTCCCGAGCCAACAACGGCAGCCACTCAATCGATGACGGAAGAAGACTACTCCGAAGAGCGTAGTGGCACTCTTCACTTGGAAGATTTCTTCCGCTATTACTACAAGGCGCAGTTCAGGGAACAGGGCATCCGGCTGCTTCTGACCAGGGACGGGTGCCCCTTGGTTGCATAGTAGGTAGTCGCCTCCCCTGCTTCTTCGCCGTTCACCATCTTGCTGACCGTTGGCACTCTTTGTGTGTCCTCATCAGTGATGCTGTCAGGCTTTACTTCAATGGCTGCGTGGCCAAGAGGATGGAGTGTGTCAGTCTCTGCCTTCGAGGTGATGATCAGGAGGGCCTTGAACATAGACGGCCCGTGGCCGGCTTCATTGACCGCAGCCACATTGAGCTCCTTAGAAAGGAGACGATAGGTTATCGATCCCGGCATTACAATCCCCCCATCTTGCGTCTCTACAACAAGAAGTGGAGGAAGATCAGTCCGCCTGAGCCATTGTATGACCCATACATTGTTGCACTCCTCATTGGCGTCGCACAGCAGAAGAGGAGGCACTTTCAGGAAGTCAACTCAAGCGAAGAGGCCGTCCATGGAATGGTATCTGTACGTTGCTCGACCCCTATTCTCCCGCCCTCCCTCAGGTGTCGTCAAGACTAACGCAGGCAAACTCGCAGTCTCAGGTATTGTCCACATTCTATTCCAAGGGCAAAAGCGAAGTCATCGGCGAGGAGGCCTACATGGGCTGGATGTACCTCTACCAGGCCAATATCCCCTCGTCGCTCCTCGACATGTTCGAAAACGCCAATGCTCCGCCTTCATCGCAGCCGTCAGTCACGGTCCAGGTCATCACCATATCTTACGCTCCACTGGCAACCTTGCGGGCTCGGCTGCTAGAGCTGTTGTTACCCGAGACCCTGGCATCAACAGTCCATTATGGTTCGTCCCCAGGACGAAAACGAAAGTATGACGGCCAAGGCACTGCCCAACCATCTTCACGGGAAGCTCCTTCGGGATGAAGTACCATCCCTTTTCAGCCGTCCTGAGTAACCAGCGGGATGCTCTCTTTGATCCAAAACAACCTTCAGTCCGGCACCACAGTGGCTTAGACAACTATCGAGACATTCTATTACTTTTCAGCCACCAAAAATTTGTACGACGAGGCTGGTCCCAAGCACACGCAGTTCCCTCGCATACAAGTCTGTCTTCTATTCCGTCTTTAGAGTCCTACATTCTGTACTCATGGTGGCCAGTCGAGGTAAAACAGTCCATAATCAAAGAACTAAAGCCCCAGGAAATTATTCGATGGTCTACGAGGCCTGCGTTCGTACCGCATTCGAGGGTCTTATCTTTTCCCCCCTAACGAACAGAGGCTCGGCCAAGATGGAGTCAAGCAGCTTGACGGGGCCGCAGCTGCGTCCGTCTCCGCCTCTTGACAAAGGCAGTTGTTCTCTCACCGGGATTGAAACCTTTACTCAGGTCGAAGAGCTAGTCCGGGGACACCTACGTATGCAGGGAGGCCACTTGTGACCTGGACCAACTGCCACCAGCTTGACATGGTATTGCACGCAAGGAGAGGGGGTGTGAAACAAGAAGAAGAAAAATTGGATAGCAAAAGAAAAAAAAAACAAGGGAAAAGGGAAAAAAAAAAAAAAAAGGAAGAACAACCTGTGAAAGCCGGGAAAGAGAAAAGGAAGAAGAGGCGAGAAAACGACAGAAGCCAAGAAAAAGCAATGACTACCTAGTACTCGCAAAATGTTACAAGGTACTACTCCGAGCCGTCTCCCAAGGTTATCACCTGGTCGCAGTGATTGGTGTCTCGCAGGCCGCTTAGTCGCATCTGACCCCCGACGTCCTCACTCCAAAGGGAATGGCGTTGTTGGATATCATTTTGCGACGGTCCAAGCTGTTGTCTCAGGCGCTCCCTGGACAAGTAGCCCTGCGAACCAATCACCTGGTTAAGCCTTGAGTTGGGGGAAGAAGCACGGCTTGGAGGTGGCCTATGACGGCACCCGGGGCGTCGTCTGCCGCAAGGCCAAGACAAGACGATAACGCGGGATGAGTACGCAATGGCACGGACTGTCAAGCAGCCCTGCCACACGGCGACTGCTAGCTGCATGGACCTGGGGGGGACATGCCCGCTCAAATTTTCCACAGGCGGAGATCGCAGGTCAAGCGCAAGATCTTAGGATCTCCTGCAATTCTTGCGCCTCTCTCCACGTCTTGACCGATTGGGGCAGTCCCAATATCAGAGCCAGAACGCCCATTTTGCTGTGATTCTTATCAAAGTACAGGATGCGATACCAAGGAGCCGAGCGTGCCTTGACCAATTTCGAAAATGCCGCCTCCACTTGCTGCCAGCAGGCCGTCATGTCTCAACTTCGAGGCTATGGATCTGATAGGACCTGGGGCGATGTTGTTGCATGTACAAGTACTCCGTACAGAGCACAAAGAGCCCAATGGTGCGGTGAATCTCGATGACCCCTTGCTGGGCTGAAGCCAAGAGGCGGGTGGGCAGCAAGGGTCTCGGGCACTTGAGCTGATCGGGCCATTTGATACCCCGAGCATATTACGTTGTCATGGATCGACTTATGCAAGACCAGCGGATGCGTTGATACAGCCCTACTTTCCTTTGAGCACCTAATGTTGCTGCTGGATTTGGAATTGTTTACATTAACGCCGATATCAGCCCAGAGTCTTGTCTTGTTGGCGGTCTGTGAAGGAGGTGCGTCCGGTGGTAGCCGAGTCGACCAGCAAAGACTGAAGATGGGGATGCAAGACCTGCATACTGATAAGCATCCCGTATCACTCGAGATACAGGGGAGGCCTACAGCTACGAGACAAGGCCATGGGCAGTAAATCGATCCTTGGGTAAGTGAGTGAGTGAGTGGGCTTGATACCTGTTTCTTCAAGTTCTCCAGTGTGTAACTGGAACATCTCCTGCACCAAGCATGTCAGATGTGCTTTCCCAGTACGTCTATTCTTCTTCTTCTTTACTACCCTGAATCAAACAGAACGACACCCCGACAAATACAAAACGGGCCATTTGACTCCCTTGGCAGTGATGCCCTCGACGCCTTACCGCGGACGCTTGAAAAGGAAAACGAGAGAAAGAAGCAATGCTACAGAACGGATGCGGTTGCCATGGAATACATACGTGTGGCGTGTCAATTGGGCCTGAAACATGGTGCAGTCGTGAAAGCCCATCACGGTCACTCTTTGACCTTTCCTCTAACTGATTCATCTGCTCATGTTGCCCCTTAGACGCCCATGGTGAAGTCGTGCTCGATGCCAGGCGTGACGCTGGCCATGAACTATGCAGGCAATCAGTAACCCAAGTCTTTTCTCTTTCTTGACCAAAGGAAAGAATGTTCATGAGAGATAATACGCACCTTGAGAAAGACGACCAGGTATTGGTCCACTCGGATGGCAACCTCTTGGTCGTCAACCTCGTTCTCCTGCACCTCCTCCCACTCGTCCTTGTCGGCGGCCTCGTGAGCGCCCTTGACGTCGAGATTCTCCAGCTCGTCCGCCAGGTTGTCGACGTCCTTGCCGTCCGCGGACTGCTTCTTGCTCGCCTTGAGCTTCTCCCGGCGGAGGCGCAGCGCGGCGTCGGCGCGGTCCAGCAGCGACTTCATGACGGGCGCGTGCTTGCACGGGTGCACGCTGGCCATGCGGACGCGGCTGGAGAAGAAGGGGAACTCCTCGAGCGTGACCGTCTTGTCCTTGTAGTCGCCGACAATGTCCTCCATCATCTTCATCGGGGGCAGGGGGTGGCCGTTGGCTTGGTAGCCGGAGAGGTAGAGGCGCGGTGTCCGGTAGTATGGTGTGTACATGATGTAGAGGTTGTACGTGCGTCGAGCTCTATCGTGATGAGTTTACGAGTTAGCGACAGGCCATGGGTGTGTTATATTGAGCCGTTGCACAATTACACGGCGAAGGAACCAAACACCTCTGGTCAGATGTACTTACGTGTTGCCAGGCTCGATGCGAAGCACAGCGTCGTCCTCCTCCTCGTCCTCCATGTCCGGGATGTCGTCGTCCAGGCCGTACAGGTCATCGTCGCCCACGTTGCCCGAGTCGTCCACCGTCCTGACCTCGCGCGCCTTGAGCGGCTGCGAGCTCGCCAGGCCGCCGGTGCGCAGCCACCCGTCGTCGTCGTCATCGGCGGCGGCGGCGCCTGCCTTGCCCTTGAAGTCGTCGCCCTCGTGGATGATGCTCTCCTCGTGGGCGGCGTCGCCGGCAAAGTCGTCGTTGAGGCGGCGGTGGCAGGGCACGTTGCGGGTGACGAGGAACTGCTTGCCGGGCGGCAGGTAGCTGGCGCGCAGGGCCTCGGAGTCGGCGTCGCTCCAGGACCAGGTCGGGAACTTGTAGACGAGGTAGTCTCCCGCGGCGACGAACTCCTCGGGGGTGATTTGGCCGGTGGTGCGGAAGGTGGACGTGTGCGTGACGGGGGTGTAGCGGTCCCGGAGGGTGTTGACGGTCGAGTAGAGGTAGTTCATGGTGGTGGTGGTGGCGGCGATGATGACGATGCTGATGTGTATTTGTTGAAAGATGGACTATCTCGAGACCTGTTGAGGGTTCCAGATGGGAGCGTGGGAAAGTATCAGAAGAAGATGATGGCGATGGTGCGATACGGCGAGGGAAGACGCAGTTCGAGATCGTATGAGAGTCGTCGGCGCGGCTCGATATTCGTAGGGTGTTTGGAAGATGGCGGAGGAAGAAGAAGGAGAGGAAGAAGAAGAAGAAGAAGAAGAAGAAGCACGAGCAAACGGGCGACGCAGGAGAGCTGCCCGAGTGCAAGTCGAATGCTATCGCCAGGCAGTCGCCAAAAGAGCGGGCATGTGACAACCGTCGGGAGTTTAGGGATTCCAGGGTCGGAGGAGCTGCGGAAGATGGATGACTGGGCCTTGGCCGTGATCTCCCCTTTTCTATGAGTTGAAACAAAGATGATGCTTCTTTTTTTTTTTCCTCGTGTGCGTGTGTCCAAGTGACTGCTACCGTTGGTACCTGTACAGCAACGAGGCAGCCAGAGGGGAACTGCAAGGCAAGGCAAAGGTAACAAACAATGCAAACGGTTGGACTGTTGAGGGGCTTTGAGTTGCGGCTTGGGGGATGCGATCACATGGCGGGGCTGGATGGACATTGAATGGCCACAGGGACCCCGTGCTTGGTTTAGCGGGTTCTACAGTACTGGTACGTAGGTAGGTACTTATCTCTGTAATCTTATCGGTGACAGCATCGAGAGCTTGATGACGTGAAGGCCCGCGGCTTTGTCACACAGTGTCGGGAGCTTTCCTGGGGAGAACAGGTATGTATGTACGAGTAAGGCTGAGTGTTCCATTTGCTGCTATTATTATTAATGTCGGGAACTAGGTACCTTGAGATGCCGAAAGGCTCATAGAGTAGGTAATAACCGTGTGTGCTAACGAACGAGACCATTGCTTGTGCAGTGAGCACCACAGAGGCATCCCTTTTGTGTGGCAGTGATTACTTCGTTGCAGTTATACAAGTGAGAATCCATGGCCGTATGCCGTGTATCTTCAGCAGAATATAGGTAGGCCATGTCTATATATGCAATTCCTCATATGCATCGTCATCTCGCCCCATCATCATCAGTCCTCCTCCTCCTCCTCCTCTTCATCACTGACTTCCTCGCCCCTCTCTATCGCCTCCTGTCTCCTCCTGGCCGCCCTCTCCCTCTTCTTCTCCAGCAGCTTCTTCAACCTCGTCGCCGAATTAAACACGCCATTCGTGCCCGAGCCACACGCCGCACACGTCGGATCCTTCTTGTACCGCTGCAGAGCGCACGGCAGGCAAAAGTAGTGCCCGCACCTCGTCACAATCGGCTCCTTGTACGATTCCCTGCAGATGATGCAGGCAAACGGAATGTTCTCGAGCATCGCCTCTTCGTCGTCGTCGTCGTCGCCCTCGTCCACCTTGGCCTTGTTCCGGTTCGCGCTGGCCACTACCGTTCCCCCCAGGTTCTTCTTGCCCTTGGTGACCTTTTCCCACTCTTGATCCAGCTGCCAGCCTGCCTTGAGGTCTTCTCTCGCGTGAAGATACTTGCAATTGTCGCCAAAACCACAGTAAAGGCTCCTAGAAATGTCAGTACGCGACTGGAATAATCATGGAAAAGGGGAGTACTTATATAGCCGGTTATGCGATAACTAGAAAGATTATGACGAGTCAGCATATGCTCAATGTACGGTATCGGGGGGGGGGATTCTGGCTATTGATGCAAACTCACTCTTTACACGTGTCCGGGGCATAATCTGTAATGGTGACGGTGCGGATGTTGGTAGGCGCCTTGACGGGCCCAACTGTCTTCCGGGGCGCATCCGGATTCTTTTGTATAAAGGACGTCTGGTTCGCCAGGCCCTTGTACGTGCCGTCTGGCTGCGCGTCCTTGGACGCTCTCGAAGATCCGAGGAGGTTCTTTGCCGAGAGCGCGTCCTTTGCGTCCTCGTCGTACCAGTTGCTGTGCTTGGTCGCGTCGTTGCTGTCAGCAATCGGGACGCTTCTGTTGGCCGTGAAGGCGGCTGTTGCGCCGCCGCCGTCGTCCCGGTTGCTGGGCGCGGCGCCCCTCGCGGCGGCGGTGACGACGGCCGTCCTCTTGCGCCTCTTGACTCTGTGCCCGGCTTCGTCTTCCGACGAGGAAAAGTCGCTGTCGCTGTCGCTGTCGCTCGCGGCGGGGGGAGGCGTCGCTGGTCGTTTGCGCAGGTTGGCTTTGCCCTTTGCGCCTCGCTTTTTGAAGACGGCGACGGGCGCGCTGCCGGCCTCGGTGTCTGCCATTGCTGCTTTGGCTCCTTTTTGTCTGTGTGTATGATTTGTGATGATACGTTGCCAAGCAGATTTCGACAGGGGATCGAGACAGGTTGCGTGATGTTTGCGAGTGGTTGGGTGAAGGGAAGCAAGTGCCGGCAGTTGGATTTATTGTAAGGTAAGTTATGGTAGCTCAAGGTTTATCACAGTCAGGAACCATTGACAAGCCTAGAATTGGACAGAGGACGGTCGAAAAGCGGGCCGGTTTGTCACCCGAGAGCTGACCAATTCGGTATTTATTGGGTACCTAGGTAGAGTGGCGACATTTACCCAGATGCAGATCAGATGGAATACTGCTATACTTGTGCTCGTACATGATTGCAGAAGTGACACCCACCAACTGCAACCATCGAAACAAAATGGTCAATTCCAGGTGAATGTTTGAAGCTTGAGCTCTGTCTTCAAATAGATTTCGACTGATTGCCATACATAACCTCACAAGAAGAGAAGATATCTTCAAGATACCAGTGCCAGCGATAGGTATACTCCAACTTTTCAATAATGTATTGACTAGAACTCTAGATACGTCTATGTCCTGCTCGCAAATCTTCCATTATGCAATCCTCTAATAGGCCAAACCCAGCCTCAATCCCCTCCAAATCCTCCCATTTGCGAGCCCCCATGATACATGCAAGTCGTCTTTTGTGAGCCCAGAGTTCTCAAAGACTGCCGGCAGTAAAGCAAGCCATTGCTTTAGAAGGTGCCGATGGCCTTCTGGCACAGGAGAGCCTGGTCGGCCTTGATATCAAGAGTTAGCGATCCCAGGCCCAAATGTCTTTTTACTTCTTTGCCATTGCGAGCACTACTTACCACGGGAGCAACGCAGCAAAGAGGCTTGGAGCCCTTGCTGGCACAGTGAGCCTGGAAGATGGCGCCAGTGTCGACGGCGATGGTAGCTGTAAAGCATCGTGTAAGTCAACTGTATCGTCCAATGTCAGGATGCCCAGAGATTGGAATTCAACATACGGGTCTTGCAGTCAACGCCAATGAGGTCGAGGACGTTGGTGGCACAGCACAGAGGGTTGGAGAAGAGGCCGGTAGGGCAGACAGCAGCCAGGGCGCTGGTGGCGAAGAGGGCGACGGCGAAGAACTGCATCTTGAAAGGTGGTGATGGTTGGTATTCAACAAAGAATGTTTGTGTTTGGAGAGTTGAGAAAGAGGAGTTGAGTGAATGTGGTGATGGTTGTAGATGAGTGTGCTGATGAGGATGGAAAAGATTGTTGGATGGCGGGAATCGAGGTCTTCTTTATACTTTTTTTTCTGGCCCTCTTCATCTTCCAGCTCTCGCAGGCTGTTCCTCATGTCCTTGTTTTCATCACGTTGGCTGGTGGTATACGGACATTGTCAGCCGTCTGTAGGTAGGGAGAGGGCTCATCGCAATCTCTCTGCCGCTGTACAATGGAAGGGATAGGTAGGGAGGCTTGATGCTGGGGCCTTGGTGTCTTGGCCACTGCTACATGTCAGGTAGGCAGAGACACGTATGTAGTAGTATGTGGCCATGATGAGATGATTATTCATAGAATGTCGGTCTACACAGATGTGATCTATGACGGCTCCAAGAGGCTGTAGGATCTATGACGGCTCTAAGAGGCCGTAGGAGTTACCTTTCGTTGGGCTACTCCCCAAAGTATAGGCCTTTTGTGTAGTTACCTAGACGTCTTCTATCCTCCAGATAATACTTCGAAAGCACCGCATCAACTCAAAAAGGGTATCGTAGGTATCCAGTCCTCAAGAAAGAGGACTATTCGCAAAACACGTATTACTCTGGACATTCTCACAGAGGCCCCAAGACTCGGATGTGACATTTCAGACGCATTGGCGGAGCACTACCAGGTTTGTGGCACTCATTGTCTCTCTCCCTCTCTCTCTCTCTCTCATTGTTGTCTTTCCAAAAGCAGGCTTCGTTTCCCATCCCTGGTTGTTAGTAATTTCAAGGCACAGCTCGATGTCTCTTGACATGCAAGCTGATTTGGCCAAAGGGAGTGGCTTGGTGGTGGGGGCCTGGCGTGCCCTGCCGTCCATCTCCCTTGGGCTGAATCTTGCTCCAGGGGCAGTTGGTCTGCTTGGGCCAATGAGAACGAGGGCGTATCGTGCCGCGATCGTCCTCGGTGGGTAGAGTTGAGTCGATAGTCCTGAGACTTGCATATACTCTAATAATACAAAGCGTCATTGGTGTGTTGCTTGTCCAGCTGGCCAAGGTCGGAAGAGAGACGTCGACGGCAGTGTGTGCAAAATGGATGCAGTCGCTCACAAAGGATGCATAGAATGCACCGGTTCTATCAACACCTTCACTCCAGCATGATTCTACGAAAATCGCACAGTTTTTTTTTTTTTTTAATCAGAATATGTACGATATCTTTGCTGATGGCCTGAGCGACATTGGATCAAAGAGCTGCACATGGATGGCAGATGCTCTATGCAAGCAATGTCGGGCTCTCGGGCAGGGCTCAAGGTGCAGACATGGCGGATGTAATGCTAGTCCACGTCGGCCGACGATCCGATCACGATCGGCCGTTGACGGCTCAGAGCACGGTCGGATAAGGTCCAATACCAGTAGTATCAAGACTTTGCCGATGCTGATGGTCATGATCCATACAGTTTAGACCCTCCATGGGTGTGGGTATCTCCTTCGCAACAGGGGAGCAGTCATGATATGGCTGATGATAGTCCATGGCTTTGGAACCGGTACATAGTATCTCGATACCGCCTCAAGAGTACAGGTAATTGTCCGTTCAGGTCGTACTGCATACACCGTGGATCCCTTAGAAGCTATCTCGACGAAGGTGGCTTGGAAAGAGACGCCATGTCATCTCGTGGCCCGACTTCCGGCCTCGTCAAATGTCACGATCCAATCTCCCAGCCAATCTGAGATGATGCTCCGCTGTCATCGTACTTAACCTGCATGCATGAGGACGAGCCGCTAGTAGATGCTGTACCCGTACCACATTCGAGTGCTCGACCTCACTGCGGTATCTTGGTACTAGGGGGGTCTCAAAAACGACCACAATCCCCGTGATAGCTCCACTATCACGGGGGGGTCATTGATTTGCAAAAGGGTCGTTGATTCGCAAAAAAAAGATACATAGATCTTGGTGAGCTGACCACACAGATTAAGGTACCGAAAAAACGAAGAACTACAGTCCTGATAATACAATAATGCAAATATGCTCTCCAGTGATTATATAATTATAATTAAAGCCATATTGGCTTGTCTGAATGAAAAAATAAAGCGATTGAAAAAAGGTACTTCTATTTATATGGGATACGCACGGTAGATAAAGTATTTTGCGAATCAACGACCCTTTTGCAAATCAATGACCCCCCCGTGATAGTGGAGCTATCACGGGGATTGTGGTCGTTTTTGAGACCCCCCTAGTAGTGTTATTGTATGAGCTGCCTTGCAACCCGTGCTATGCAATGGCTGTAGTGAGCGTCTCAAAGGCTGCAGCATCATCACCCTGCGCACAGACGGCATCTATACAAATCGCATGTGACGCGACATGAATGGCTGTTGCGGAAATTGCCAGCAATATCTATGTTCAACGCCCGTTACACGAAGTATCGCCATAGCTAACCATATCCGACATGCATAGACACGCCGTTTGAACGGAACTGGGGAAGCGTACAGTACACGAGAACTGTAAGTTGGCAGCTGACAATTTGGCGGTGTGCGGCGCCGGCCAGAGGGCGACATGCCAGCGGCGAGTAGCTAATGCAGGGGACCCAGCGCATGGGTGCGGCCGAAGCTGGGGGGGGATGGAGGCTGGCATTGTCTGGGGACGATGTCAGTTGAGGCTGTAAGATGGGATAGCAAACAGAGACGCGCGAGTAATACTGTATGAAGATCAGTAGTAAAGAGTGAAGGTGATGTCGAGGTTGCCCCAAGGTGAGTGAGGTAAGGTATGTGATAGTATCTCGAGAGAACCAAACTCTCAAGTTTTCTAGAAATCGCTCGGAAGACGGGACGAGACGCTGCTAGAGAGCAAAGAGTCTAGGGCGACGCTCCGTTTAATCAACCAATACTCATATGTACTGCCCGTAGCGCCAGAGTCTCGTCCATCCGACACTCAGTCTGACACGCCGGGCCAGGATGGCTGGGTCGGGTGCGGCGATGCCAGCCTCGGTCGGGATTAGCAGCCAAGGCCCGTTGGGCGAATAGGACGGGGCGGCTCGGGGAGGGAAACAAAGAGAGGCGCCATCAGGAGCCAGGAACAGGCCCAGTCGACCGTGGGAGGCATTCCATGCGTGATTACTAGCTGGCGGGGAAGAGGCCTGTTAGCTGGTGGATCGCCGGTCCGAGGCAGCTCGGAAGTGTGAAATTGGGGCTGGACTGGAAAGGGATGATGAGACTCCAGTTGAAAATCCTGCTGAAAACTACCTAGGTAGTAGTGGTGATGGTCAAAGGCGAAAAGAGACGATGGAGGAGAGCAGGAGAGAGGGATGCAGGAATATGAGAGAAGTCGACGTTCAGAACTGCGAGCAATAATACTCGGAGCAGATGGCAAGGTACAAGTACTCTGTAGCTAGTAGTTCTCGTACAGATACCTGACCCGGTGCCCAAGGCTCAAGAGCATGCGCGCGCATCTCGTGCCCCAGTTGCCAGTCCCTGCTGCCGTTGCTGATACGAGGTCCTAGGTACATGCATAGGGGACAGGCTCTGGTATGTGAGTGATGCGGCATCTCGACATCGTGCGATGCAGGTACGACGCACCAACTATAGTATTAGTTGTACAAGGTTCAATCGGGTCGGTCGACGTGCTCTGGAGTGCATGCAATAATATATGTACCGAGTCTGGTAGAATTTGGCGATGGTATCGGAGATGCGCATCGTGATGATGATGTTACCCGGCAGCAAGGTAATTGTACATGCAAGGTAATCTAGGTACCTGTTTCGGGGCACAAATGAAAAGGGTGATGCAGATGCTGAAACACGCACTTGGGCCGCTTTGGGGGGGAGCATCTGATCAGCTGCTGCCTCGTTGAGGGTGATTGGGAGGGCCATAGAGTTTGCGTCTGTAATATTCATGTGAGTGCGTGAGTGGGTGCGTGAAAGCGTGAGAGTCGGGTGTTTTGCCCTGTGCTTTTCGCAAGTATCGACTACATATAATACCTTACCGTAGGTACCAAGCTCCTGTTACCGGAATGACGCTCTGCTCTGACGCTGTGATAATGTCAGTACTAGTAGTACTACTACAACTCATAAGTATGGACAATCCCCATCCCTCTTTCGGCTCGTGGTTTCGCGCGCATTGGATGACATGAGCTATTCTCGGATGCATGACCGACGAGCGATCGGGAAGATGAGGCCCAATTTTGCAACTGGCATGCTTCCCGCATTGATTCATGCACCACCCATGCGCCGGCTCACAGGCAGGAACAAAGATGAGAAACGGAACAAACAAGCAAACAATCGAGCAGTCTGTCCGTGCAGATTGGCAGTGGTGCTGTAGTATGGGAATCGCTTTGATGGTTGAATGCCCATTATTGCAGGTAAGGTATAGTATTGTAGGGTAGCACTCATTGCATCGTCGCCGTTACTGCGCCTCCGTTGTAGCAGAGACTTGGGCCAGGCACAGCAGAGCACACCAACCACCGGTTCCCCTCCCCTCTCCATCTCGAGATGCTTCAGGCAAGAGGGAAAATCAACGATAAGCGACAACACTAACCCTCTCAACCTTTCAATAACGGTCCCGTCCTCTTCTTATGACAGCCCATCCAATTCAACACAAACAACAACTCCTCCAGCTTGATACCTTCAATTCCATTCCATCGCATAGGTACGAGTAGCACTGCCTTATTGCCTTACCTACCCTACCTTGCCTACCTAGTCCAGTGCCTATTGTCTGTCTGCACATCACCAGCACCGCGTCCACCAGAGTCCCCCCCTCCCTGGTCGGCTTCTCCACCAGATGGCAAGGCCCCCCTCTGCATCTTGTTGTGCCTTATTAGCCCTCCCGAAGTGGTCCTAGCTGTATTACGCAGTCGCAGCAGCGTTCTCGTTTCTCCTCCATTTTCGCGGCATCTGATAGTCTCGTTGTTTCTTCCTCCTCTTCCTCCTCCTCCTCCTCTTGCTCTTTTTACTCTCCAACCCTTCTTCCTTTCTTCTCCTCTTCCCCCCCCCTTAACCCTCACCACCAAAATCCGAGTCCTGGCAAGTCCTTGTCCTCCGCGCGGCTGGATCTCTGATTTTTTCCCATAGTTGTTTCTTTTCTTTTGCTCTTTTCCAATTTCTTTTATCCGTCTGCCACCCGACTCGATACACTCCTTACATCACCAATACCTACCGCTAGAATAATAATAGAACGCCTCGTGTTTTTTGGGGGGAGGATTCGCAGCAACCCTACGCGTCCGATTCACCCTATCCGCTCATTCATCGCAAGATACCTAAGGATCGAAACCGAAAAAAACAACAAAAATCGCCAAAAAAAGAAACTGCTCAGTTGGTCGACCAGAGAAGAGCTGCCAATTCAGCCTTGGCACTGGATCGTTGAATTTTGTTAAAGTGTTGGATTGCGCGCCTCGTTGTTCCCCCCTTTCTCCTCTTTGGCCGTCTTCGAATCGACGTTGCGCGCATTACTAGCAATTCGAGCTGCGCGCTGCTGAAGAAACAAGAGGAAAAAAGGCGTCGCACACTGGCCGTACTTCGTACATACAGTGCGCCGACCGACCCTGGCCAAACTGCAATCTGCTCAGCGACAACAGCGACAGTTGCGCGTCAAGCTCCATTCCATTGCGCTGGCAGAAGCCATTGCGTTGCGTTGCGCTGCGTTGCGCTGCGCTGTGTCGATTGACTTGAGCCAGAGTTGAGACCTGTCCCTCCACACGGCTTGAGCCACGTCTGACCCGGCCTGGACAACGAAAAAAGACAAGGCGCCAAAACAAGAACAACAACAACAACACAACAACAAATAATACGGCTCCCAATTCGCTGTCCTCTGCCTTGTGCTGTGTCCTGCGCGGCAAGGTACCTACTTTGGTAGTACTACCTATACCTACCTAGTAGGCATCAGGTACTTGTAAGGTATCTGCCTGGCCACACCTTCGCGCGACAGCACCGACGACGAGAAACAGCCCGCAGCCTCAACCAGCGAGCGCTTTCTTCCAATTTGTTTCTTTTTCCGTTTCCCTTCTTTGTTGTCCATTTGGCCCCCTTTAGCCTTCGCTTCTCGCCTTGGATCCCTTATTTTTTCCTTGCCTTATTATATTTTTCGCCTTCTCTTCGGCTTCCTTTGGGTCTTCCAAATTTCCCGCCCAATCTCGCCTACGCTCTGCGCTTTCTGTCCCGCCTGTGCGCAGCGCATCCACAGCGTCATTTCAGAAGCTCTCCTCGGTCCTTTACTCCAATCAACCATCTTTTCCGCTTACCTCGACCACCCCGGTTTGCTGCAGCAGGGCCTGCGACGACGCCTTTTTTATTTTTTTTTCTCTTCTTTTCTTAACTTCGTCCCTGGACTTGTATCCATTTTCCCCGTCCCGGGACCACTCACCAATCCAATCAGCCCGACTCGGCCCCCCCCTGCTGTTTTCTTCTGCCGCTGCACCTCAGCAACGCAAGGGGCTGCGCCGTGCCAGACGCCAGCTCAACTCGCCCAATCCTGCATCTCTTGCTGCAGTCCAGTCAGCGTCTTTCGTCACCACCACCAACAGCAGCAACGCACGCAATCAAACGGCTCAACCCCTCTCGAATTTTCCGCACCCCTCGCTGTCACCAGTCCGGCGCGAATCCGACAGCAGCGACAGCAGACGCGCAATCGAAAAAAAAAACCCACCGCCGGTGCAGCTGCGGCACGCCTCGAGCTGCCGCCTCCCGAACCTGCCAGGGGATTCAAGCACCGAGACGCTCCCCCCCATTGATGGTTCGTCGCTAGCCACCGACCGACGCTGCGCTTTCTGGCGGACTCGCCTTCATCAGAATGGCGTCGTCGTCAGTCAACTCGGACCGGCCCGATCTCTCGGCGCCCGTGGGAGACGCCGCCAACGATCCCTTCTTCTCCGCCTCCTCGACCACCCCGTCACACCTGCGATTCTCCGACTTTGACCAGGAGCTCTTCGCCGCCGGCCCCGGCTCCGACCCGCGACAGGCGAAGCGCGCCCTGGAAGCCCATCTGGCAGAGACGGACCGTCGCCTCGACGAGGCCGGCAAGATTGGAACGGCCCTCGTGTCCCAGCGCAAGGCCCTCGCCGAGCAGCTGCAGGAAATCGAAAAGCTCCAGGCCGAGGAGGAGCTGGCGCCCGAGCTGCGCAAGAAGCTGGTCAGCATCGAAAAGGAGTACAATGACTTGGCGCGAGAGTCCGCGAGGGTCTTCTTGCCCAAGCAGAGAGTCGCGAGCACCACCGACAACCAAGGCTCGCCCTTTATGCTGGACAGCCGATCAAGCAGGGTGAGCACAACGGGTTTCCTCTTTTTTTTTTTTTCCATGGTGGCCATTCTATCTGATCATTCTACAACCAATTTGCCCGTCTTTCCCACTCCTCCTTGAGCCAAACCTGCAACACTTCGGCGTCACAGGCCTTTTGCGCTGCACATTCAGTCATTCCCCGTGCCCTGCTCCCCTCCCTTGTCTTGAATGCTTTACCAAGAGCTGCCATTAATCAATGATTCTATAGCGATCCGCCAGTCCCTCAAAACTCGAGAATCAATCCACGGGCTCACCCACCAAGCTGAGCGCTCCCAACCGTAAGCTGCGCAACCAGCCGACAAACAGAGTCCAGGACATCGAGTTCGCCGCCGAGATCAGCACATCCCTCATCGCCCAGGTCCGCAATCTGCAGACTCTGCTCGGCGAGCGAGATGAACAGGTCAAAGACCTCCGCAACGATGTCGCCCGCCTCGAGGGCGACTCGGAGGCCCTGCAGCAGCGTCTAAGGGTTCTTGACGAGAGTGAACATCGCTTCAAGGAAGAGAACTGGAACCTTCAGACCCGGCTGCAGGAGATGACCGGCCAGCTAAAGGAGGCGTTTGACCGCGAGAAGAAGCTCGACCATGCCCTTCACGCCTCCAATGCCGCCAAGGCTGCCACTCAAAAGGAGCTGGACGACGTCAAGCTGTCCCTCTCCAAGCTGACCGAGGAGCACGCCTCCGCCACCAGGCACTACGACATCGAGCTCGGCACTGCCAAGCGCGCCATTGCCATGGCCGACGGCGAGCGCTCCGCCATGCAGCGCAAGATTGACGAGCTGACCAGCCAGAACCTGGAGCTCGCCAAGGCCATCGCTGCCCAGAGGGCCAAGGCCCAGGAGCGCGAGTCTTCTTCCGGCACTAGCGACGAGGATCTGGAGGCTTCCGCTGTCGACATCACGCCCGAGCATTCGCCGCCGCAGTCGCCCATGAAGGGCACCACCCCCAGGCACGCCATGCTCGAGACCGAAACGCTCAAGACCTCCCTGCAGCATGCCCAGCGAACCATTCAGAGCCAGCGAAGCCAGCTGCACCGTGAAAAGACCGAGAAGCTCGAGTTCAGACGCATCATCCAGGACCTCCGCGACGATTTGGAAAAGGCCAGGAACGAGCTCGAAAAGGGCCCTGCCCTGCCTCCCGTCCGCCGCGGCCGCAGGGTTGAATCCAAGGAGGTCAAGGTCAGGCCGCCCAGGCTGCTTGGCAGCTTCCGGTCCAGCCGCCAGGAGGTCGTCATCGAGGAGCCTGTCGTCACGGAAGATCCCGAGTGGGAAGACACTCACGACGTCTCACCTCGATCTTCCGGTCTTCGCGTTGGCACTCGCTCTCCTGAAAGGCGCCATCTGCAGCAGCAGCAGCAGCAGCTGGGGCAGCAGGGGCAGCGCCTTTTCCGACAGCAACAAGGACAGCAGTCAACTGACGATGAAGAAGAGCTTGTGCTCGAGTCTATCGAGACCAGTGATCAGTTTGAAAGTGCGGCCGAGGAAGTGACCGGCGACTCTGCCTTTGAAACTGCTCACGAGCCCTCTACCGAGACGGATGACTTCCAGACGGGACATGAGGACCTGTCCGATGAGAGTGATGCCCCTACTGAGGTTGCGCTCTCCGTACGCGGCTTCGGCAACATGAGGCGGCCCCCTAGCCTACAGCCTGGCGGTTCGCGACATGCCCAGCGGGAGTCCTTTGACAGTACCGCCTCCACCTCAACCGAAGATGACGAGTTCCTCGAGTACAATGAGTTCCGGACACCCACCGCCGCCGCCTCCTTGCGGAGAATGCGCATGAACAACCGCTTCTCGCAATCTAGGAGAAGCTCTCGGCAGGAGAGCGAAGAGCCTCAGTTCCAAAGCCCCGGCGCAAGCTTCAGCAGCGGCGGTGGTGATCCGGCAACGCCCGGCCAGAGTCTCTTTGCCGAGCTGCAGGACTTTGGCAGCGACGACGAATCTATCGCCTACACCCCCAGCCGCAGAAGCCTTCGCTCCATGACGCCGGCCTCTACGCGCCGCGCCATTACGCCCCCCCCTGCGGTTCCCCGGCTGCCCCGAGTCATCATGGTGGACAGCGGCGTCATGACCGACCCTGTCGAGTTCGCTGCGGGCATCGACCCCCTGGGCCACCGGGCGTCTCGCGGCTCGCTGCTCAGCGTGGGCGAGGTCGCCAGGCGACCGAGATCCATGGAGTCGGTCATCCCCAACACCGACTTCCGCGCGTCCACGGCATCCTGGCGGAGCGCCGAAGACGGGCTCGCGGGCTCGCGCCCCGCGTCCACAGTGGCCTACAGCGATGCCGGCGCGCAGTACGACATTGGCGAGAAACTGGCTCAGTTCCCTGTGCCGCCCTCGTCGCGGTCGCCCAGTGAGCCAGACGTGCTGCCGCCCCTCCCTGCCGCTGCGCCTGCGCCCCCTGCAGTCCTCAATCTCTCCGCCATCCAATCCGAGCACATCGAGCCTCTCGAGGAGGAGCAACACCAAGAGCCGGCACCGGCCCCTGTGCAACCTCCCACTCTCAGCTTGACACCAATAGCGATTGAGACTGTGGAGCCGTTAGCCGAGCCTGAGATCCCCGCTCCCGACCTGAAGCTGTCTGTTATCGTGGCCGAGCAGTTGGAACCCGAAGCTGAGCCTGACGTGCCGCCCCCGGAACTCACCCTGTCCAGCATTTTTGCTCATGCACTGGAGCCCCAGGCCGAACCAGAGGTGCCCCCCGCTGAGTTGACGCTGTCGACCATTGTAAGCGAGGGCCTGGAGCCAGTAGTCGAGCCTGAAGTCCCCCCTCCAGTGCTCTCACTATCGACAATTGTAGGCGAAGGCCTGGAGCCAGTGGCCGAGCCCGAAATCCCCCCTCCAGTCCTTTCTCTGTCTGCCATTGCAACCGAGGGCTCGGAGCCGGTGGCAGAGCCAGACGTGCCTGCGCCTGTGCTGAGCTTCTCCGGCATCGTTGCAGAGGGCTTGGAGCCCGAGGCGGAACCCGAAGCACCTGCGCCCGAGCTTACGCTGGCTTCCATCCTATCCGAGGAGATCGAGCCCGTCGTCGAGGAACCGGAGTTGCCTGAGCTGACCGCTGTCGAGGCCATCGCTCCAGAAGCCCCGGCTGCTGCCGCCTTGCCGGAGTTTAGCATCTCGCCAATCGTGGCGGAGCAAGTCGAACCCATCGCCGAGCCCGCCCCCGAGCCCGTGCAGATCATCATGGCGCCCCCACCGGCACCTCTCAGCTTCTCGTCGATCCAGGCACAGCAGCTGGAGCCTAGGGAGCTCTGGCTGCCGAAGCTGACTCTCTCCACCATTGCGGTGGAAAAGGTCGAGCCCGTTGCCGAGCCCGAGCCCGAGCCCCAGCCCGCTTCCGCGGCGCTGACATTCTCTTCTCTTTCCTTCCAAAACACCATTCCGTTCGATGAGCTGCCCATCGATGATGAGGAGCTGCTGCTGCCGCCTCAGCCCGAGCCTCAATCCGAGCCGCAGCCCCAGGAGCCCCAAGCCCCCGTGCTTGGCCTCTCCTCCATCGTCGCAGAGGATGTCGAACCCGTGTTCCCTCTCGCTCCCCAGTTCGCCTTTTCTCCCATCTCGTCCGTTGACACTCAGCCCATCAGCCCGACAAAGAGAGGGGGATTCATTCTCCCCAAGGATATCAAGTCGCCCTTCATTGATGATGGTGATGAGATATCTGACAAGAACCTCTTCGCGTCATATGTCACCCGCAGGAGGCCCGAGAGCGTCCCCTCATCACCCATCATTGCCGAGGATGAAACGAGTCAGTCACGGCCCGTGTCGCCGAACGTCGACGTTTCCGAGTCACAGCAGCCATTCAAGGAGATTTCGGCCAATGCAGGCCCCCGACCTGCTCAGCAGCTCACTCAGACCAGCGACCATGGCGCCCAAACTTCGTTGACGTCGGGAGCCATCGATCAGCTGCTCAAGGCTGGGGCCGAGACTCCTGCAAAGAACCATTCCGTCAGCGCTGTTAGCAGTCCCGACACCGTGGGTACCGTCAAGATCAACCGTGCGCCTCAAGAAACTTACGACAGCCCCGTCTCAGCTGTCTCCGGCAAGAGCAGGGCGCTCGAGCCAGCGGCTGTCATTGAGTCTACTACGCCGGCGCACCGACCTGGCAGTGCCACCAGTGCCAAGTCCTCGCTCGTGGGCGCGCCCCCTCTGCCGCCGAACCATCAACAGATGATTCAAGCAGCCCGTGCCGGTTCATCCCACGGGTCTCAGGGCGCTACCATGGGCCCCCCTCTGTGGCCCGCCTCGGCGACGAAGCCAGCGCCGCGAACGCCAAACTCGACCAGGCCCATGTCGCCTGCTTCCGGTCGCGGCACCCCTACTCCTCGCGCTCCTCCTCCCCGCGCCGGCTCGTCTCACGGCACTGCCGAGTACCCGCCGCCGCCGCCACCGCCGGCGGTCCGCCTCTCTGCCGCCATGTCTCGACAATCCTCGGTGTCCTCGTTCGCCTCGGAACTGGACAATCGGTTCGGGATGCGGGCCAGCGAGATGGGCATCGATCCTAGCGGCTTCGGCGCCAACACCGACCCCAGGATGATCCAGGCCATCACGCAGACCATGATTGGAGAGTATAACTGGAAGTACACGCGCAAGGCTGGCCGGGGCGAGCTCTCGGAGAAGCGGCATCGCCGCTACTTCTGGGTTCACCCATACACGAGGACCATCTACTGGAGCGATAGGGACCCGTCAACGGCCGGGCGTACTGAGATGAAGGCGAAGAGTCTCCCGATCGAGGGCGTCCGGGTTGTGACAGACGACAACCCCATGCCGCCTGGTCTCCACCGCAAGAGCCTGGTGATTATCTCGCCCGGCAGGACAATCAAGTTTACCTGCACCACTGGCCAGCGACACGAGACGTGGTTCAACGCGCTGTCGTATCTTTTGCTGAGAACCAGCAATGGCCACGATGGGCACTCTGACGCGGAGGAGATGGTGGCTGACCTCGCCCGAGAAGATGCTGATGAGTTTAACCCTCAGTTCGGCCGAAGGGCCGCCAACGGCACTTCAAAACCCTCGGCCCCGTCCCTGTCATCATACAACTCCCGCACCACCCGGGACGGGTCGCTGGCCGAAGCCATCTCCTTTGAGATCCCCACGCTGACGCCATCGGGGAAGCATGCCTCACATGCTTCAACGCCAATCAAGCCTTCTATTTCAGGCAGCATCAGCAGCAGGGTGGGCTCGTACTGGAAGGTGGGCGGATCCAAGCTGTCGGGAACGATGCGTAGCAGGACGGCTAGCGCCCAGAATGTGAGCATCTACCAGGCCAGCGAGGTCCATGATAGTGCTGAGGACCTTCGTGAGATGATTGAGCGTCAAGATATGGAAGCGGACCGGCTCGAGAATGTCAGAGCATGCTGCGATGGTAAGTCTCTTCTCAACGCGAGGCAACGATTGATGATTTATTCATCCGAAGCTGACAATTTTTCCCCCATAGGCAAACACGACGTCGGGACGCTTCCTCACACGACCAAGAGGGCGCGCAGTCACAATCATAGCCACAACCACCATCATGTCCAGTCCAGTGGGCAATCTACCATGAGCACTCCCCTGGCATCTACGCGCTCTCGAGCATAAAGTTTCCTGTTCATTCGACTTTGCATTATTAATCAACGTCTTTTGACACTCTATTCAACTCTCAAAAATCGGGAAAAGATACTTTCCTCCTCTGACTCTCTCTCTATCTCTCTCATTCTCTCTTTCGCTCTCTCTCTCCCTCTCTCTCTCTCTCTCTCTCGCGAACGTGACGACCATACATTTGACGGAAGGCCTCCTTATGACTCTGAACGAACTTTTCTTTTTGTCTTTGCTGTTCTTTCTTTGATAGTTACCTCGTTTATGCTCACAGACATTTTCAGCTTGTCATAGATGACTCCTCTGATTTAGATGGGACTGTCACTGGCATAGCGAGCAAACCCACCGGTCTCTGCATACCTTGAGCTTGGAAGAACCGTCGCTCTTAGACTGCAGTCCCCCCTCTCTTTAAACTTGTTTCCTTGCTGTCAACTTTCCTTGCCCACCAAAAAAGCAGCCTCTTGTTGTGCGAACAAGGCCCCCCCCCATCACGCAAAAGATTGCAAAGAGCTACACGCATTTTTTCCTATAGTGCTCCAAGGGGAAGAGTAAATTACAAGTTCAAAAACAACCAAAAAAAAAAAAAAGAAGGATCTTCTTTCAGCACAGTCTTTGTATTTCACCTAGGCACCTGTTATGATGAGCTCCCGGCCTTGGAACATAGTTATTCAGAGGGGTGGGAGCGTGTCTGTGGGTAGGGCATATCGGGATATTGCAAATTCAATTGGCGTATCAGTACATAATCGTGGTCTTGTTGCATATACCTACTTTTGAGAGTGATCGAGTCTTGTCACGATGGTTTAGTACTCGTGTAGGAGATGATAAGAGGCAAGCAAAGTGGCTATCCTATCTATGCATCTCAAAAGATCAGTTCTAAGATTGGGGAAAAGAGAAGAAAGCAGAGAAGAAAGAACAAGGAGCAAAAGAGCAAAAAGAGAGTCGCCGTCATATCTCAATGCGGTGGATTTGTTTTATAGGAAAAGCCCAACGCGGGGGTCGAACCCGCAACCTTGAGATTGCATTAGAACGTGTGTCTCAGCTAAGAGTCTCACGCTCTACCGATTGAGCTAGCCGGGCAAGTCACGTGACTTGGCTATTGACCAATCACTGACCACCGATTGAGCTCGGGCGCTTATTGAAGATTCTTGTAGAAAGTTATTTCAAGTACCTTTGGCCATAGTATTACCTACCTACAGGGCGGGGTGGTTTTTTAGTAAGAGGTGTGGTAATAACTATTAGTGTAGATAATAGTCATCTAGCATGCTTATAGCACTATACTTCTAGTATAGTGTTTTATACTCTCCTATATTATAAAGCTCTTATAGTTTAATAGCGCTTCTTAAATTTATATATATTTTAAGTATAATTACTATTTTATTTATAATCTATATTATATTAGTTACTATAACTATATTATAATACAGCTCTTTACTTATTATATAGCTACTATAAATAGTATTTTAAGTTTATAAATTATTTTATTTAAATATATAATTAAATTTATATACTTTAATAATAATAAATGCTATTTTTAAATTTAACTAATTTTAAAGTAAAAAAAGAGTTACTATATAAGAATATAGCATTTACTTATTTATATTATTATTATTAAGAATAATTTATAAATTACTAGTATTATTATTTTATAATAGCTATTAAATTAAAAATAGTCTTATTTTAAAAGTATTAGTTTTTAAAAATATATTTTTAAAAGCCTTATTAGTCTTTTTATAAAGATAGCTATATTAAGAATATATTATATATAGCTTTTTATAATTATAGTAATGCCTTATATAGTAAAGCATATAGTTTAATAATAGTATGCTATTATATAACTAAGTTAGCTAATAGGTTATTATATAAGTATTTTATAATATATATATTTTATAAATTAATAAAAGTTAAAGTCTTTATTTAAAAAACTATACTTATAGTAAAACTTAGTAAAACACTTTAATACTACTTATCCTAGGTCTTAATAATTACCCCCCCTCTTTTTAATAATATTTATATATATAGTATAATTAAGCCTTATTTATTAACTATAAATTAAATTCCTTTTCTTTACTAAAAGAAGACTTTTTACTTATTAAAGTTATATTTAATATAGTTTTATTTAAAGAAAAGTTTATAATATTATTATTATTTTTAATAGCTAGGCTATTAGTATTATTATTATTAAGGGCTTCTGTATTATTATTAATAAGTTAAGTAATAGCAGGCAGTTAATATATAAGCATATTATAAAAGTCTATAGTAATTATAAGTTAAATTACTATATCCTTTTAATTATTAAGTAAGATTAATCTCTAAGTATAGTATAATTTACTAGCTTAATTTAGTAAAACTTCTTTTATCTCTTATATAATATAAAAATAACCTAAAGTAAATAAATATTTTTAGTAAAAGTATAAATATTAATATAAATAGATAAATAAATATAAAAGATTAAAAAATATACTTTTATCTTTAATATTAATTTCTTTTAAGATTTTATTTATAATTATAACTAGTGCTATATAATTACACTTTTATTATATAGTTATTTTAATAATAAAGTATATAAAAATAGATATTATTTAAAATATATATATATAAAAAGATAATAATTTATCTTAATTTATTAAAAGAATAAGTAAAGGAGAGGAGAAAGATAAGCAGCTAGTAGAAAAAAAAAATACTAATTATTTATAAAAGTAGCAAACTACTTAATAAAACTATTTACTTTTAAATTATATAATATAATAATGCCTTATAGTTACTATAAATAAAGTAAGATATTTATAATAAGTAAAAGAATTAATTAAATTAATATTATATTAAAACTTTTACTTAATTTACTTTAATGCCCTCCTTATTATAAATAATTATATATTCTTAAGCAGAATAACACTTTACTACTATCTAAATCCTATATTATACCCTTTACTATCTCTCTTATTTATTAATACTACTCCCTTTTATATACTTAAGACCTTAATACTTTAATTATTAAAGTTATATATTTAAAAAGACAGAGCTTAAAGACTATAATATTAATAAGCTATTATTATATATAAATACTAGCTAAAATAGTATATTTTTTACTTTTAGTAGCTTTAATAGCACTATTATTATTATCTTTTAAAATAGCGCTCTGCTTATATTTCTTAAGTGTTTACTTTATTTTTTTAATTATATAAAAGCTATTGCCTTTAAGTAGTTTACTACTTATATATATAGGATTATATATATAAAGTAAAACTTTTAGTTTTTTATATCCTTAAGGCATAAAAAGACTAAACTATTTATCTCCTTTTATATAAAAACCCTAATAGTCTGCTTTAAAATTATTTATAATATTTAAATAGGTGTTTATAAATACTATTTATAACTTAAAAAGCCTTGCCTTTAAATATTTAAGGCAGTATATAAAAGCTCTTAAAAACTTATAAATCCTTAGCCCTTTAATTAAATTAGTAATGCCTTTCTTATATAATTTACTAAATATATAATAAAGTATATCTTATTATATAATATAGTTAGTACTAGGTGCTATATTACTTTATTTAAAGGTTTAAAATTAGTAATTATAAAATAGTAAAGTTATAAAAACTAGATATTATATAAACCTTAATAAAGCATAAAATAAAAAGTAAAAAAAATCTTAAGGAATATTAATAGCTAGAGTAATAATAAATAAATAGTAAATAATAATAGCAGAAGTTTAAAAGTAAAATAAAGTTAAGATAAAAAAAAGAAAAAGGTTAAAAAAGAAGAGAGCTAAATAAAAAAAGAAGTTTAAATAAGATAAAAGTTAATTGTCTAATTATATAAGCAGTAACTTTAAAATAATATAAATTATTTAAAGATAAAATAAGTTAGTTTATCTTACTCTTTATATTAATATAAATAGGGTATAAGTAAAGGCTATTACTATAACTTATAAGAATAGTATATATACTTTACTAGTTAAAGTATGCCTAAAAAAAAGAAAGACTATATTATAAAAACCAGAAGTTTATAACTTTATATACTAAGTAATAAATAATTTAGTATATTATATAATTTAAAAAAGTAATATTATAATATAGTAATATAAATAAAGGATTTATTAAAATATATATTCTTTACCTTAATAAAGAGGGAGGCTATATATTTAGTAATAAGCTATTATACTATATCTTAGTTTATTAAATAATAATATCCCTTAAAGTATATTATAAATTAAAAAAATAACTATTTAAATTATAAAAATAACTATCCTAAAATAATATATATTAACTAGTATTAAGTACTATATTATTATAATTTTAATCTATTTATATACGCCTAAACTATACTAATAGGACCAGCAATCGTT